ACCCAACATCAGATCAGTTTAGAAGTCATTATGAGAGGAAAAAGAAATATTTGAGTTGAAAGATATATTAAAAACCCTTTCTCATTGTTTTTGATGAGTTTCCAGCAGGCAAGAGTTTACCTTTTTTGTTTCTCTTCATCATTTCGTTGGTAGTTTGGTGTCTTAAATAAACCTAGACAGGCATATGTGTTATTTATTACATTCCTTATCTTGACCTGCAAGGCTCTATATGATTTTGCCCTTACTTGACCTCTCAACTTCTTCTACAATTCTCTCTTTTAATTAACACAGTACAGATGCACTTGCCCCTTCTTATTTCTCAAGCACATACAACTCTGCTCAGCACTTCAAGGAATATTGCCACATGACTTGTTCTTGTCTTTAAATTCTTACCTTAAGTGTCCTCTCCATAGAGAATTCTTCCCTGACCATTCAATGTAAAGTAGCTGCTACCCGCTCTGTATTACAGGACCCTCCTTAAAAGCCGTCATAGCACTGGTGATATCTGACAGTTATGTTGGTCTTTTCTGTCCTCCTCTAGTATTAGAATGTAAGTTCCAGGAGAGTGGGCATCTTGGCTATCTATTTCTTGGTATATCCTACCACCGAGAATAGGATTGAAAACAAATTTTTAAATAAAAGAAACATCTCAGCTTATGCACTTGTTAAACTTTTATCTTTCCACCATCTTTAATAGGTATAAAATCTGGATTTAAACTTACTTTAAATATATAATGGCCAAGGAGTCTTGTTTCCAGTAAGGGCAATGGTACCTTGGGTCAACCCTTGTACTGAGATGGATTAAGAAAGTGTGGTATGTGTGCATGTGTGTGTATAATATCATAATGGGATGCAATTAAGGAAATTATAGGGCCAAATTCCAAAGTAAAAGAAATAAAACCTAGAGGTGTGAACTTGGTATTTAGCACCATTTTTCCTTTACAGGGATTTGCCAATTCTGGAAGAGGTGACTGAGAGGCCAAGAAACAGATGAGAAAAGTTTTTGAAAGGTTTACAGAAAGAAAAATTCAGATTGGTTTCAAGGCTTGCCAGGGGCATTGGTAAATCACGCAGGCTTCTGATTAAGATCCTTATGGTCTAAACCCCCCAAATAAGGGTGAAACGTACTTGCAAGGATTGAAGGATTGAAGAAGTGCAATTTCTAATTTCAGTCTCTGATAGTATTAAGGTCATTCTAGTTTGCTGATGACCCCAGCCACCTGCATAAGCAAATGCAAATCTGCTCCAGTGGAAAAAAATCTTCCTAGACCTTAGATCCTCTTTACATATTTGTGTATTGAACCCAGCAGATGATAAAGAACAACTAGGTAAAAAAGAGTGGATATATGTATATGTATAACTGATTCACTTTGCTGTACAGCAGAAACTAACACAACATTGTAAATCAACTATACTCCAATAAAAAAAACCCTAAAAAAACAGGCAAATGAAGAAACAGATAATGTGGCAGAAAAGCAAAAGAACCAGAGAAATAAACCAACAACAGTAAACAGCAACTACAATGAACACCTGCTACATGATTTTAGGAAGCAGTGCATACATTGAGTGCTGAATAATCATCTCACCTTCATGAGTATAAAACTGAACTCTTCATCTTTCCCCCCAAATCCATTCCACCATGGCCTTACTTATCTTTGTCGATGGCAACCCCACGGTTCCAGTGCTCAGCCCAAGACATTGCTGTGGTCTTTGACTTTTTTCTTTTTGTCTCACCCTATATAGGACTGGTAAAGAAATCTTCACTCTTATTTTTAAAAGTACAGATAAATACAGAATCTGATCATTTCTCATGACATTCACAGCTACAAGCTTGCCACCCTGTTCTTACTGAATTGCTTGTGTCTCTGCTTGTCTCAACACAGCAATTAGCATGATTCTGTTAAAGCATACATCTAACCAGAATCTCCTCTGCTCAAAACTTTATAATAGCTCTACTCAGTAAAAGAGGAAGTCCTTAAAATGACGTACAATATTCTATACCTTTCTAAATCCATGCCAAGGCCTTAGAGCAAGTTTTATATCTGTACCATAAAGTGTTTATCTCATCCAAATTTTTACTGTGTAATGTGCCAAAGGATGTCAACTTTATTCATTTTCCTATAATATACATGTTTACACTGAGCCAAGAAATGTTCTTTGGCACTACAAAAACTGCGATGAAAACTATTTACTGGAAACTTACATTAATCATTTTTTAAACTCATAATTTCAGTAGCAGAATTAGGGTTCAGTCATCAAAAATGAAGATTATTATGTTGTTAATGGGCATTGACTGCTGTTGTAAACAAGCAATGCTTTAAAAAATACCTTGATATAATAAATTTATTTTTGCACCAGTTCATCTTATTCCTTTTACCATTTTCCTTTCATGTAATGTTTTCTGATTAAAGTTACCTCTCATTGGGCATCAGATGTCTATTTTATTAACCTATTTTAATCTACTGATAGTCTAAGGATAAATAAACTTGGCTATGTAGGACTGTTAGCCTTAATTTTTTTGTTGTTGCTTCTGTGTAATGTTTCCTGATTAAGGCAATCTCTCATTGGACTCCAGCTGTCTCTTTTACTAATCTATTTAAATATAATGATAGTTAAAAGATAAATAAGCTTGGATGTGAATAAATTTTGATGCAAAGAGCTGCATGGAGCAGAAGTGCTAGAAACTAGAGGACAGCCTTAATTACCATATAGTTATTTCTTTTGTCCATACAGCTACGTTTAAAGCTCCATTTAAATTCAAGATTGTTGAAATTCAAGATTGAAAGTTGAATTTTTACAAGAACATAGTTCCTACTGACCTTCCAGGTATCTATTCTAATTTTTTTCTTTTCCTTATCTACCTAAATGCAAATTATAACTACTCTTTAATTATAATTTATTTTCTTGGATTCAGTCAAATTAGATTATATAATTGAACTAAAATCAGAATAATGAAACAGAAGTTGAGACAATGCTATACACCCATTTTATATAAACTTTTTTTTAGCAAGATGACTAATATGTTAATAAATCTAACAACCTTGGTTAGTGTCACCATGACCTGGACCCTCCTAGTCCACATCCTGAATCAGGATCTCAGACGTCACCCAGAGTGGAACTTGTGACATGTTAGTGGAAAAATGGAAACCACATTTTGATACTCAGTTCTGGGGAGGAAACTGTTTTGCCAAAAACAATTTGCCTTGTAATTTTTCATTTCAGTTATCTGCAGCATGATGGCTAAAATGTGTTTTCTTCTCTTTTGTTCTGATTTGGTAAGGAAGCACAGATCAGTCTACACAGCCACCTGAACACTGCTGCCAAGACTGTTCCTTAAAAAGAGGATTATTTCTACACAATAGGGAGTGCAAGCACATTTCCTGCCCCTGTCAAAATTCTGTCTACCTTGGGATAAGAAAACAGCCCCCACTCTGCTTTCCCAAATTAGATGGTATTAATTTTTTAAAAAGAAGGCAAATTATATCTTTAAATATCATGCATTTTAAGACAGAGTATTTAATATTTACCTGGATAGCAGTGCTTGTTTTTACAAAAATGTTTTTAGACATAAACACATCTTAGTATACATTATATCTTCCACCTGTGTACTTTTAATAATTACATTTCTGTTTACATGCCTACAAAAGGGACTAACTTAATTCTACAGTTTATAATAAAAAATATTTTTAACTTATTAAAAAACTTAAGTAAAAAGAAAACCTAGAACAAATTTGAACAAACCTAAAACAAACATTTGAACAAACAGATTGATTGTTTCACATATAGTTTTTTCTTTTGCAAAATAAGGTAATATAACAATGTTTTATATAGAAGATTTATATTCTTACAGTAACATTTACTAAAATTCTAATCTCTATGCACTTGTAAGGCTTTTGATACTCAATTTAGGGAGATATTGGTACAAACTGCATTAGGCTGGATTCAAAATTCTGAAGTTTAGAAATACTTTGTCAGTGGTATCTTTCATTTGCAAGTCTTTTTCTTAAAAAACACAAAAAACCAGTCTGGGACTCTGTAACCTTATTCTTATTTAGTTCATTCAACAAGTCTTGATTGAGTGCTGACTTTGTATCAGGAAAACCTTTTAAGTAGTAATGACAGCAATAAAAAAGGAAGAAACTTCCTGCCGTCAGGTGATTTAGGACCATGGGTATAATTAAATGGAAAGTGTCCATTGCTATGGAAATGTATTGATTTCCTCTGTACATTGGACTTTTTCTCAAAGTGATTAGCTGTAATGCTTATCGCTCCCCACACCTTTTACCTACACATTAAATTGATCTTTTAAAATTGTTTGAAAGCAAACATAGGATTTTTCTGAATATGGCTCTTTTTTATCATTATGCAGACAAAATATGTAAGATACAGTTTACAATTCATAGAGCTCTTTATTCTCTTTCCCATTCCTTTGTGACACAGTAGTTTTTTTCAAATACATCAGTCCAGAATACATATACCATCCCCATAACCTGTGAACAAATCTAGAAGTCAGATATGTGTAAAACATTTCTAATTTTTGCATTGGCCTGAAATATTGATATAAATCCCCAACAATAGTGCCAGATTAAACTTCAAAGATCATTGAACCATCTTTTTTTTTTTTTTTGCAGCCTATTCAGTTCACATACTTGTAACGATTTGAATAGCTTGCTTGACAAGAGTGGCAAAATCACATCCTTACCCTCTGACTCATTTTTGTACTTATTTTGATTAGAATTTTTCTGAGGTCAAAGAACATGCTTTATTTATCACTTTAAAATAAATTTATATGGAACCACAAAAGACCCAGAATTGCCACAGCAAATCTGAGGAAGAAGAACAAAGCTGGAGGCATAACCCTTCCAGACTTCAGACAATACTACAAAGATACAGTAATTAAACAGCATGGTATTGGCACAAAAACAGACATGTAGATCAATGGAACAGAATAGAGAGCCCAGAAATAAACCCACACATGTACAGTCAATTAATCTACAACAGTGCTTGCTTCAGTGGCACACATACTAAAATAGGAACAATACAGGGAAGATTAGCATGGCCCCTGCATAAGGATGACATGCAAATTTGTGAAGTGTTCTGTATTAAAAAAAAAAAAATCTACAACAAAGGAGGCAAGGATATACAATGACGAAAAGACAGTCTCTTCAGCAAGTGGTTTTGGGAAAGCCAGACAGCTACATGTTAATCAATGAAATTAGAACACTCCCTCATACCATATACAAAAATAAACTCAAAATGGTTTAAAGACCTAAATATAAGAAAAGACACCATAAAACTCCTAGAAGAGAACACAGGCAAAACATTCTGGGACATAAATTGTAGCAATATTTTCTTAGATTAGTCTCCCAAGGCAAAAGGAATAAAAGAAAAAATAAACAAACAGGACTTAATCAAGCTTAAAAGCTTTTTCAGAACAAAGAAAACCATCAGCAAAATGAAAAGACAACTTATGGAATGAGAGAAAATATTTGCAAATGATGTGACTGACAAGGGGGTTAATATCTAAAATATACAAACAGCTCATGCAACTCAATATCAATAAAACAAACAACCCAATAAAAAAATGGGCAGAAGACCTACATAGACATTTCTCCAAAGAAGACATACAGATGGCGAAGAGGCACATGAAAAGATGATCAACATCGCTAATTGCAGATGACATGAAAATCTTAAAGATGCCACCAGAAAACTACTAGAGCTAATCAATGAATTTGGTAAAGTAGCAAGGTACAAAATGCACAGAAATCTCTGGCATTCCTATACACTAACAATGAAAAATCTGAAAGAAAAATTAAGGAAACACTCCCATTTACCATTGCAACAAAAAGAATAAAATACCTAGGAATAAACCTTCCTAAGGAGGCAAAAGACCTGTATGCAGAAAACTATAAGACACTGATGAAAGGAATCAAAGATGATACAAACAGATGGAGAGATATACCATGTTCTTGGATTGGAAGAATCAACATTGTGAAAATGACTATACTACCCAAAGCAATCTACAGATTCAATGCAATCCCTATCAAATTACCAACGGCATTTTTCACAGAACTAGAACAAAAATTTTACAATTTGTATGGAGACACAAAAGACCCCGAATAGCCAAAGCAATCTCAAGAAAGAAAAAAGGAGCTGGAGGAATCATGCTCCCTGACTTCAGCCTATACTACAAAGCTACAGTAATCAGTATGGTACTAGCACAAAAACAGAAATATAGATCAATGGAACAGGATAGAAAGCCCAGAGATAAACCCACACACCTATGGTCACCTAATCTATGACAGAGGAGGCAAGAATATACAACGGAGGAAAAGACAGTCTCTTCAATAAGTGATGCTGGGAAAACTGGACAGCTACATGTAAAAGAATGAAATTAGAACACTTCCTAACACCATACACAAAAATAAACTCAAAATGGATTAAAACCTAAATGTAAGGCCAGACACTATAAAACTCTTAGAAGAAAACATAGGCAGAACACTCCATGACATAAATCACAGCAAGATCCTTTTTGACCCACCTCCTAGAGAAATGGAAATAAAAACAAAAATAAATGGGACCTAATGAAACTTAAAAGCTTTTGCAGCAAAGAAAACCATAAACAAGACGAAAAGACAACCCTCAGAATGGGAGAAAATATTTGCAAATGAAGCAACTGACAAAGGATTAATCTCCAAAATGTACAAGGCAGCTCATGCAGCTCAATATCAAAAAAACAAACAGCCCAATCCAAAAATGGGCAGAAGACCTAAATAGATATTTCTCCAAAGAAGTTATACAGATGGCCAACAAACACATGAAAAGATGCTCAACATCACTAATCATAATAGAAATACAAATCAAAACCACAATGAGGTAGCACCTCACACTGGTCAGAATGGCCATCATCAAAAAAATCTACAAACAATAAATGCTGGAGAGGGTGTGGAGAAAAGGGAACCCTCCTGCACTGTTGGTGGGAATGTAAATTGATACAGCCACTATGGAGAATAGTATGGAGTTTCCTTAAAAAACTAAAATCGAACTACCATATGACCCAGCAATCCCACTACTGGGCATTTACCCTGAGAAAACCATAATTCAAAAAGAGTCATGTACCACAGTGTTCATTACAGCACTATTTACAATAGGACATGAAAGCAACCTAAATGTCCATTGACAGATGAATGGATAAGAAGATGTGACACATATATACAATGGACTAGTACTCAACCCTAAGAAGGAACGAAATTAAGTTACTTGTAATGAGGTGGATGGACCTAGGGTCTGTCATACAGAGTGAAGTAAGTCAGAAAGAGAAAAACAAATACCGTATGCTAATGCATATATATGGAATTTTAAAAAGCGGTACTGATGAACCTAGTAGCAGGGCAGGAATAAAGATGCAGATCATATAGTAGCTTTATTTTTTATTTGTGTGACTATTTGGGAGATGAAAACAAGGTTGTGCTTTCAGGTGAATTCAGGGGATTCCCTTAACTAATAGATCAGATTGAAAAGTTGCCAGTTCCACACATATGAAAGCCAAAGCAACTGCATCTGAGATTCCTTTAGAAATCATTACCTGACCTCTCTTTCCCACTGGCCACACCGCTCACACTCACTCCTGCCCTTAGACTGTACCTCTTCTCTATCCTCCCGTAATATTTTATTATTTCATTTAACACGTAGTTTATAATCGTGAGTTGTAGCCCCACAGAGACGGTGAACTCCTTGAGGGCAGGGAGTATGCTTTGTTCTTCTTTGTAAACTTGTTACCTAGTATTTAATAGTTTGAGTTAATTAATATATCTCTATGCTATGGAATGTTGCTTGAATGAATTGAATGGATGAATGAATGAGATGGTCATAATTTTGGCTAGGTAGTTCTTTCCTTCAGATAACGCAGCCAGCTCTCCAGGACAGTTTGCATTTTGCTATCTCCAAGGTGGTTTTGTTTTCCATCCTGATTATTTAACAGATAATATAAATCTGAAACACAGAGAAGTTAAGGTTATTGATATAGAAGATCACTCAGTAGAGCTAAATCTACAACTCCAGATGAGTTGAAGGAATGAGACAGGTGGCCCAGTGGCTAAAAGTTTAGTCCTTTTTGTCAAAAAGACCCAGATTAGAATATGGATCCTCTTATTGACAGGGTATCCTTAGGTAATGAACATAATTTTTTCAGAGCCTCTGCTTTGAATAATGCCTATTTCACAATATTGCTGTGAAATAAGTTTGAACCAATGCTTAGCATATATTAAATAAATAATCTTAGATATATTTTAAATATGAGCATTATAGCTTTTAAGTAATTATAAATCAGACTAAAGTATGTCATAAAAGAAACACACAAAAAAGATGAAATGGAGTCCATATGACAGAGTGTATTAACAAATAAATAATAACTCATGGGGTTAAAGAAACTAGGAGGTAATTTCATGATTGGGTAAATATATCTACAAAATAGCTGGGGCCATAGTGAGTAAATACTCATTTGTGACTGAGACAGACCCACTTTGTGATTCTTGTATTACTTTAATTATTAAGGGCTCTCCATTTCACTTTTAAAATTGTCAGGGTTTGGACAGTGAATTGTGGAGTTACTGTATCGTGGCACATGTGCTAATCTGGAACATTTTAGGAGGAACTTTTTGCACAATCTAGTAAGCATTGTACCCTGAAATCTGCACAGGCATGTGTAGGAAGAGTTTCATCTTCCAGTATACAAAGATCTGGGTTGGTCAGCATTTCTGTTCTATCCAAATAATCAATTTTTATTCTATCCAAATAGTCAAGCGCAACTTGAATGTAAATATCTTTTTAGCAATTCACTTTAATGTTCTCTTACTACACAGAGTTAAAAATGTAACTTGGTGAGAAGCAGAATATACCAAATAACTCCTTAGGGTTGTATTTTTACTTGCTTTTTTTCTCTTTCACCCTCTTCTGATAACTTACTTCAATATACACTCATTTAGAAAAAGGCTTTTTTTGGATTTACCATTATGATCTGAGATTCAGAAAGTTGGAAGATATAATGAGAAATGTTCATTTTCTTTCTTTCTCCCTTTTCTATAGAGAACACATTTTAAATTTATTATGCTTTCCAATAATTATTTAATACAGGAAAAAAGTGTTGATAGGAAATTCTTCATTGTCATTTACCAGTCTTCTTTGTTAGCAATGTGACAACAGTAACGTTACTTCAGGTGATTTCTACAAGTCTTTCCTCAGCTGTCATCTAAACAAAATAAGATGAAATAAAACAAACACAAATTAATTGCACAGTTATTCATAAATACAAAAAATCTTTGTTATCAAAGATAAATTATAATTTAGAAAGCAAACATGCAAATTATATTAAATAGATCAATTTTTGAAAGTACATTTCTTCAAAGTATTGTGCAGCTCTTTCCTCACTATAACTGTTAAAACGTTAGTGGTGAAATAAAGCTATATCAGACTATACTAATGTACATTTTAAACTATTACTTATGGAAATACAGATAGAGATTCAGATCACATTATGAGAAATGTAATAATTTTCAAATAATTTTCACATTATCAGAAATTTATGATGGAAAGAACTCTAGGGAATTTGCTTGGTGAATTATAAGCACAAATTTATAGTTATTATAATTCCAAGAAAATTTGAAAGATTCAATAGTATTTCAAAAGACTTTAATCAGTGGTGATGGCTTCTTGGAGGGTGAAAATGATTGTGAAATATTAATGTGCTCACCTATATCTGTAAGTACAATTAAAATTATGCTGAGTTGGACATTGACAGATTTCACATTCTTGCCTTGAAACAACTATCCACAGTCTGTTTAAGCACAAAACTCAGTAAACTTATAGGTAATGAGTAACTATTTTACTATAGTTTTGAATAATCTTAATGTTCCAGATATTCAGAGCATTTGAAATAACAGCATTATCATAGAAAAATACATTAACTCTGTCCTCATGTTTAATAACCATTTGTTAGAAAATATCACTTTTAGAGTTTTTAATCAGTTATATTGGAAATGAAGTGAGATGTTTTTATTTTAAAAGCTTTCCATCTTCTGGCTATTTGGCTTGGTTTTAAGTTTTGGATTT